ACATACTGTGCGTTCAGAGATGCTCTTCTGCCTACCTTGGTTGTAACGGGTGGTTATTTGAGTCACTGTTGCCTTTCTATCAGCTCGAACCAGTCTGGCCATTCTCCTCTGACCCCTGGCATCAACAAGGCATTTCCGCCCACAGAACTGCCGCTCACTGGATATTTTTTCTTTTTCGGACCATTCTCTGTAAACCCTAGAGATGGTTGTGCGTGAAAATCCCAGTAGATCAGCAGTTTCTGAAATACTCAGACCACCCCTTCTGGCACCAACAACCATGCCACATTCAAAGCCACTCAAATCACCTTTCTTCCCCACACTGATGCTCGGTTTGAACTGCAGGAGATTGTCTTGACCATGTCTACATGCCTAAATGCACTGAGTTGCCGCCATGTGATTGGATGATTAGAAAAAAGTGTTAACGAGCAGTTGGACGGGTATACCTAATAAAGTGGCCGGTGAGTGTATATTATTGTGTATTTAATCATAGTGTTACAAAGTGTACATATGTGATTGATTATGAATAACATTACATTTTTACATTATGTTGTGTATAAGTATCTTAATTGTGTGTGAGAGGAGAGATGTTAAAAGTGTCTTAACATCTTTAGGGTGCCTTGTTACATAGTTAAGAAAAACATAAATAAAATAAGCCAGAGCAGGCTGAAAATGAGGGGAGTATCGCATTTCCAGCACCAGTGTCTCGATATCAAAACTAGATTGAGACTCCGCCAAGGTTTTAATCGTTTTCAGAGATTCCGCGCGTGTGTGTGTGTTTTACAATTTAATTTTTAAGCCCTCATCTAATTTTTTTTTTTTTTTTTTTTTTTTTTTTTTTTTAATACCAGGAAGTTTAGTCGCTCACACTGGAAACATTTTCTCACCTCTTTGCTACATAGCACTTCATTTAAAATGCTGGATTATATCTATGGTTAATTACACTGGTCCACAGCAAATTTTAATTAGAGATGGCTTTATTTGTGCCTAAACATATTTTTGATGCTGATTAAAAAAAATGTCTTCACTTTTTTTCTAGCACATCAGGTTGTTCGGATATTTTCATTTTTAGTTTGAGCTATAAAATCTTGAGCAAGATGTATTTTACCATGCATTGTCATTCATAGCTATGACGTTTCAGGAAAACAATTCCACCTGTTGACCCTAAAATTTAATGCATAAATATGACCATATTATTGTTGGTGTTGTGAAAAACTTAACTTACAGAAAAAATGAGGGCAGATTCAGAATCAATGCTTAAAAAAAAAAAAATACAAATTTTATTGCATTAAAAAATATTAAAAAAATAATAATACATTTTTTGGCCAGTGTTATATACTAGTACAGTCAGTTTGATCACAAAAAAGTACACATTGATATGGGGGTGAAAGTATCAATATTTCACTCTTTAGCGATTTATCCACTCAAGCTGACAAGACTTCTATGTGACTGGCGTGTGTGTTCAGAGTTGCTCCGAAACTAAGTAGTTTAAGCCAGTGGTGTCCAAACTATGGGCTGGGGGCCATTTGCAGCCAGCCATTCATTTGTCAGCTGCTCTTGGCTTCCTAAAAATGAGGCCGCGCTAGTTTGGGGGAAAAGGGGGTGGGGGGTGAAGGTGGGCCATGTGGGTGTTGAAAAAAAATGCATTGCAACCCCGACATCGTATGGCTGATTTGCTTTATTGATTGATTTTGGCGTGTTTGAGAAATTAAGGTCAAACACTCTCAGTAGAAAACGTTTGGACACCCCTTATTTAGGGTGTCGTCTGCCTTTTCACCCTAAATCAAATACAGCTGAGTCCTCATCAAATAATAAACGGTCCAGAAAATGGGTGAGCGTTGATGCTCTTAACAACCACAGTCATCTGGTTTTGCTTTGTGTGCAAGCCAGCTTTAATGACATTGACGTTATAAACTGTATTTGCCATGCTAAAACATTCACTTTTCATGTGCTAAAATATGGTTTGCTAGCTATCCTCATTACTTTGTAGGTGTTGAGTCCTGGGGAATCAAAACCTGGTGACACACCTTTTTTGTTGAAATGGTAAAAATTAAAGAGCTGTCTGTCTTGAGTCTCCAAGGAGACGGAGGCACTGTTGACCTTTAACCTACAAGGGTATGGGCTCTTGAAAACCACTCTGAACACCCTATCCTGAAGATACTGAAGATGGATGATTTGGTAATTGGCAGGGACATTAATATCTACCTGTGGTCCAAACTGTTGCATGAACAGGGCCCCATCTGACCCTACTTTAATTTCATAGAAAGTCATATTCCTATACGTGAAAAAGCCTATATATGGAGCTGGGTCAGGCGGCGGTCGAGGTGTCAATTCAGCATCCCTGAAAGCGCCTTCCACTGCAGGGATGAGGTGGTTGTATACCCGCTTCACCAAATCCTGCTCTGAGGGTCGTACCCCAGCCATCAAGACCACCAGTCCTAATTTGAGACGGGGCACAAGTGACAGAGAGGCTGCAAAGCCATCCAAGTCACCATCCTTTCTTACTACATCGTAGCCCAGTTGCTGGTTGATCTCCCATGGTGTGCCAGTGTAGCTGGCAAAGTAGCCACTCTGGCACTGGAAAAGTGGGGCTAGCATAGTGTTTAGGGTGTCTTTGCGGAGGAGTGTCCGACTGTGTGATCCCAGGAGAGCCATTAGAAGCTTTGCCATGTCAGCTGTTGTGGAGTACATCTGACCCGCAGGTCGATACCAGCCCAAATTGTAGAGGGGAGCGGGCTGACCATTGCTGTAGACACCCACTGCCATCTGTCTCTGAATCATAGGAGTCATGTCGAAGCCGGTGTTCTTCATGCTGAGCTGATGCAAAACATTATGGGATACCCATTTTTCAAAGTCTGTTCCAGTCACTCTCTCGGCCAGGACATTGGCAATTAAGGAAAAGGCAACATTGCTATAGTGGCATCTGTAGGTAAAGACATTACTGTGAGTGATTATGTAACAGTGATCATACAAATCCATTAGGTTGCAGCTATAGCGTCGGGCTGATTTACAGACTCGATTAAAAAAAAGAAAAGTTACCTTGTTCCTGGATCAGCAACAAGGACATCATCCTGTAACTTGTGAAGGGCTGCTCGTGTGTCTCCGTTCCAAAGGAGATTAGTTGACCTTAATCTTCGGGGTAATCCTGCAAAACAAAAAATTACATGACGAGAAGAACTACATTTGTGTCATTAATGACACTAAATATCAATCAGTCAATCCACCATTCCTCCTGTATTTACTTTATTTCCCCATCTTTTGTCCAGCGTATATGCTCCATTTTTATTTCAGCACCACGCTAGGTGATCTTGTTAATCCTTGGTTTTCCAATCTGTTTACAAATAGTTAACTCATTGCAATGTGGCGCATTAAATGCTATTAAAAAGCACGCCATTGTTACAGAATCTGTCCACTAAGAAAAAGGTTGTTTATTCTTACCAGAGAGGTGGCTGGCCATTCTACGTAAGGTGATTCCAGTTTTGTTGAAAGTCCTGACTGAAGTGGATGCCGGTTCTCTGTCTATACCCAGTGGATTCTTGATAGTGAAATTGTCTGCGTACTTGTCCACTGAGTCATCTAGTGAGTCCACAAGGCCATTTTCCCACAGCTTGTACAACATCAGGGTGGGAAATATCTTGGAAAGGCTGGCAATTCTGCAGATGCAACAATTCAAATGAATAGTTGTGATACATTAAACTCTTAGTACATATCTGTTACTATTTACACAGAATCTGATAAGACTTTTTTTTTTTTTAAATAGGCATGCTAAAACCTGAACATGTACCCAATGCAGAGTAGTGCAACCATTGGAAGAGTGAAAGTAATGTACAGTATCGTACTTTTTTGTTTTGAGGATATATGCGCATATTTTGCTGAACAGGTAAAATATTTGCACATACGCTGGTCGCTTAAACCGGCTTTTGCAATGCACCAACATCAGCATCCCAATGGTGCGTGTTATGATATGAATAAAATTCTCAATGTGGTCAAGGCATCATTGGCCATAACATTTTAAGATAAGATAAGAAAACCTTTATTAGTCTCGCAATGGAGAAATTCCCAATTCACAGCAGCAAAGTTATGAATGGAAGAAGTAGAACAACAAAATATAGGAGCTGCTGGAAAGGCAGCCACTCACGCGGCGCCATCTTGAAGTCAAAATATTTTGACGACAAATATGGTGCTTCACTTCACACCACTGTCCTCATTCCTCGCTGCCAGTCCCATGATCCCGCTGGCATGAATATTTTAAGACTAGCGGCTCTTGAAATAGCCTAACCTAGCCAGTCTTACCGCTGCTTTCATCCACGACCACCTTATTTTTGTCCTTTGACTCACACGGATGCATGAAGGCTTTGTCGCCTTGTTGGCTAGACTTTTCGCTGCTCCACAGAGCGTTAGAGTCAGACAATGGCAGCTGACGGGTGAGGTGACTGTTCTCTGCACATTGGTCAACTGGAAGACGAGATACTAAAATCATATTTACATGATTGGCAAATAGTTTACTTCAAGCTTTAAACGTCGATGTGGAGTATTAAAGTCGACTTGCAGACTAGTCAACTAAACGGTTGAACCCCTGGCACAGAGGGACTATGTGGGCGGCCAGACCAACCGATCGATCAATAGATCCTCCCCACGTATGTGCTCGTCTTACCTGTACACTGTGTACTCATTGGGTGCAGGTGATGTTGGGTCACTAATATTCTTTTTGCCAAAATTACCAATCCAAAGAACAGAATCATTCAAAACCACAATGGCAGATATTGCTGGAAGCTTAGTCTTGTCAACACTCGTCCTCAAGAGTATATCAACCTGGTGGGAAAAACAAAATAATAATAATTTCGTCCAGATTGATAAAAGAAAAAAAAAGACCTCACCTTCTCTAAAGCCACTCTTAGAGGTATAATGGGATGTTTAAGGGGCACAGGCTCAGGATAACGTGGGCACATCTCCTCTGCCGCTAATTCTTTTAGAGCTTCTTCTGGGTAAACATGAGAAATGACACTTTTAGTTTGTCATGTCATCAGAGTCTCATTGTCCTGAAACAGCAACTAAACCATGTGTAGTCAAACAAATAATAATTATTTTTTATTTGTCAAATCAGTCCCCTGATCTCAACCAATTGGGAATGCTTTTCACTTACAGAACATGTTAAGACACCAACAAGTCAAGAGAACTGCAGTATAAACCTGATAAGGCATCTCCCGGGAGGAATAACTCTTTTGAGTTTTATTGTACATGGGCTCCATATTTCAAGTACTTAGTGAATTTATCCAAAATTCTTGTTATACTTGCTTATTTCAAATTTTACATACACCAGCTATAATTCGGGAATGGCAAATTCCATTTTTATCAACATTAAAACTGAACATCTATACTTCAGTAACAACTCGAGCGTTTTAGTTTAGGGCGGCATGGTGGGTGATACCATGTCTGCCTCATACGAAGAAGATTTTTAGTTCAGATCTTTTTACAGAATCAGATCCTCTTGCCGTCACCCATACCAAAGAAACCTTGGTCCAAACTCTACTGTATACTTTACCTGTCTTCAACTTTGGTATCCTGTATTGCCATATGAAGCAGAAAGTCATAACCACAGAGAGCAGGAAGAAGACAACCATGCCCAACGTGGTCCATTTTATCTTCATCTTGCTTATTTAGGCTTAATGTGGAAAACTATGTGACAATTTGGGCACGAAGATTCAATGCTGGTTAAAAAAACAAAACAAAACACTTAAAAGGTAAGATATTTGCCTTTCACATTTAGAAAAGATAAAGCTTACCATAGGACGGAAAAGCCAGATTCATTAGAAATCATTTTGTTTTTGTTTTATTTTTCAAAAAAAAAAAAAAAATAAAATCCCATCATAGCCCCTGTAAGGTCCGTGAGGTTGAATCCTTCAAACCTGTGTTGAAGTCGTACCTTTTTACACAACCTCTACCTTACATGCGCTGTGCTTAATCTTGACTGTGATCCCTTAATGGTCATTACAACTCTGCAGTGACATCATAATCTGCAAGTGGGCCACCACACAGCCAAATCCGCTGATTCCTCTGAAGTGGTCGACTGTGTAAGGACAGGTCAGTGCTCCATGTGGTCAGTTAGAAAGTCAGGAAATATACTTTAGCATCCAACAAAATACAGCAAGAGAAGAAGAAAACTGTTGACCCAGTATATGTGATCAGCAGGTTAAATCAGTTGATTGATGAGTTGAATCCAGAACCAACCTTTGTGGCTGTGCCTGTGACTGCCTGCTGCTGCTTCAACTGTTCAGCTGTCCATCCCGCTTTTACAAAAGCACTGCTATCAAGTAGTACAGAAGCCCCTCCAGCAAACGTGTCTGTGATATTTGCACATTTAGCAGCATCCCAAATAAGATTCTTACATTTTTTGCATTTTTTTTTGGGTGTCATTTTGTAACATGCGTTTGATACACGCTGTCTTTTCACGAGCGGCGGGAGTGACAGACCATATTGTATCCCGATTGATTCAGTGTACTGTCAAAACTGAAGTCGGACCGTGTGGCCGCCTCCTATAAGGGAAGGGATTCAGTGGGTTCCGTCGACTATTTTATGTTTGTAGCTTCAATTTATTGGCTGTATTGTAATTTGCTGAATGGGCCACTCTCTCTAAATCATGGGCTGCTCTTTGGAGGAAAAAAAAGATTAAATTAGTAGCACCACAGTGACCACAAAAGACGGCGGCCAACTGGGCATTTACCTACCTATTAAAAAGCTCTAGGCCAGTCCAGCCCTGACATGTCAATAATCACTCAAGGGTTGTAGCAGGTGTCACCAACCTTTTTTGCAACTCAGAGCTACTTTATATCTACTGATTAATGTGCGGAGCTCCCAGTTTGACACACACTTCTAAAATAACAAATTTGCTCAAAGTAACTATTTAATTAATTGATTCATCCCATCCATTCTCTACACCACTTATCCTGTTCAGGGGTGTTGGGTGCTGGAGCCTATCCCGGCTGACTTCGGCTGAAAGGCAGACAACACCCTGACCTGGTTGCCAGTCAGTTCCAGCATACACGGAGACAACCATTTGAACACATTCACACAGCCACTGAATGGGAATTCAACCCATGCTGCCTGCACTGAAGTCAGGAAAATGTGAGACTACATCATTAATGCGATTATGAATTCATGATATTCGTTTACGTGAAGACACTGCTGATCACATGAATGATTTCTCATAATTAGGAATAAAATTACTATCCATATGCAACAGTTTATTTCTTTTAATATCTGCCACTTCACAATTTCAAATGATTACTTCAACAACATTCCTAGAAAATCACAATGTCCCATTAATAGTGAGTTACTTTTAAAACAGGCCCCGGCTCCTAAGTATCCGTCGGCATCACGTTGGTGACTCCGGCGTAACTGATACTGTACTGCTGTAATAGTTTATCATTTACACATATAATATGTAATTTTTATTCACAATGAGGCTCACTCTGAAATGCTTGAAAACACCTTGTCTAGTTGAATTCCCCTTGGAAACACAGTAGCGATCTTCCTCTGCTACGCGTAATTTAATGTTGTAAAATAGTCAGTCATACTCCATCATAGGAGAAGACGACGTGACGAAGGTTTGTTTTGATCACGTGACAGGAAATACAAGTTAGAAGTCCAATGGTTAAAAATGGTGCGACACAAATCTCAAATAACCTAATCTATGTTAAATTGGTGTGGAATTGCCGTGTTTTCCATGAAAACGTATCGGGTTTGTGTTTTATTTTGCTTCTCCAATGGTTAATTGACTTGAGGGCGGACACAATGTTCTTGAGCTAGTTTTAGCTTGGTGGTTAGCTTAGGCGTGTGGACTACAACCTTGCCCTTTCCACAGCCACCTTGGCTTTCTGGTTGCCTGCAATCTCTATGCGTTTGTTTTCTGGTTTTATTTTATACTCTCCTGCTATAACTCCTGTTTGTCTTCATCGCGTGCTATTTTTTTAAACCGCTGTCACTTGTAGTGCTTTCATGTGTGCGAGCGACAAACCTGTCAGCTCCTTGACAGTGGCATTCATGATCATGGACCGAGCGATGGAGTGATCGATGGAAAGTAACATATCTCCTTGGAGGTGAGTTGGAAACACCGTTTTGATTAACTTCTTTACCTGTCAATAATGCAAGCTGTACGCAGAACAGGTCATGATGGGGCATGACAACTTGCCAACCTTTGAGACTCGTAGCCAATAAGCCTGTTTGTTTCACATGCAGACATACTATAGTTAAACATTCTGTATGTTTTTCTTTAGGACGAATACGCCAAACAATTATATAAAGTGCTCATTTGTAAGATGTATAATATCCCAAATGTTAAAATTGTCTGTCTATCTATCTATCTATCTATCTATCTATCTATCTATCTATCTGTCTATCTGTCTATCTATCTATCTCAGAAATTGGATGGATAATGGCAGGAATTTAACTCAACGTCCATAATGAAGCAGTAGAAATTTGGTTCACTCACATTAAAACTACAAATCCCTGCAAAAATGCAATTCTAATGTGTCCTTTGTGGTCTTGGGCTAAAAAAAGAATTCAACACCTCAAACTGACGAATATCTTGATATGCTCAAGTAGTTGCAGCAGTTCATTCCCATAGAATATTCTATCACCAGGACATTATCGTACTTGACAAAGATGTCATGTAGTATATTTTTCACGCTGTTTTTCAGACATCTTGCACCTTACCCCTGAGAGTTGTCCTTTTGTCTACATCCACATTTTTGGGAGGACCGGCATCCCCGAATCAACAGGATGTTGGAAGGACTTGTCGCTTGGGTGCTGAACACATATTTGGGAAAATATGTCAGCAACTTAAACACGGATCAACTCTCTATAGCGTTACTTAAAGGTAATCAATATGTACCTATTTGGCCAAATTGTTTTGCAATATGTTTTATGGTCACATTTGCAAAGTCATATTTTATCACACTCACAAACTCTCTCTCATCCTCTATTTAGATGATGGGTTTGACACGTTTTATTTAGGTTTTTGTGAGGCAATGTTGAGCAAAATGTGTACGATCCTTATTCCTACTCTTCAGGTGCAGTTGAATTGGAGAACCTACCTCTGAGGAAAGATGCCCTCAAAGAGTTTGACCTGCCCTTTGAGGTTAAAACAGGTGAGGCTTTGGTTTATAGTGTTTTCCTTTTAGGTTACTTCGAAAGGCACCATGGGCTGCTGATGTAATATGTACTTTACTTAAGTAAATATTTGTATATTATGAAAACTATTGAATATCCAAACATAGCGCTTGTTGGATGTCCTCGCCACCAGTGAACTCTTGAGATGTAGTTTATATTTATTTTTTCTGTGATCCTTCTTGTCTTTAGGCTTCATTGGAAAGATTACACTTCAGATCCCATTCTACCGTCCTCACAGTGACCCTTGGGTCATCTCCATGTCCCAACTCAACCTCATCATTGGTCCTGCCCATTTGCGGGAGTATGATGACGAGAAGGAGAAAGAGGAGCAGAGGGAGCGCAAGAAATATCTCCTCAAGAGTCTTGAGGAAAAATTCAAAGTAGGTTGATTGTGATTTTTGTTTTTATTTTTTTCTCCAAAACTTTGTTTTCTGGGGGAAATGTTCCAAAGTGATTTACTACATATTAATTTTGTTAATATATCTTCCTTCAGAGTGAGTGTGAACAAAAAGGAGAATCTTACTGGTACACCGTGACTGCATCTGTGGTTACGAGGATTGTGGAAAACATTGAGGTACAGTAATCCGACACAATATCATCCTCAACATGATATGTAATCAGAATTAGAATCAGAATCGCCTTTATTGTCATTGTATTGCATACAACGAAATTTGGGTGCCACTCCTTAGTGCATTTCGTAAAAAAATAATCAAATAACGGTTTAATAAATACAAAACTCAAGAACAACACAACAACAGCAGCAGTAGTGGTAGTGTGGAACTGAGGCTTATATTGCACACTACATACAGTGCATTTTGTTTTATTTTACCTATTCAAAGAGCAGCAAGAGTTTTGGTATCAAGCTGCACAAGATGTCAGTGTTTGATGAGTGATTGCAAAAAAAAAAAAAAAGGAATCAATGAAGAAGTGATTTTATTTCTACTGCTAATTACTGCTCCTAGTAATGGTTGTCGTACCACTATACAGTACTACTTCTAATACTTGCTGATCTGGGTGCTTTCAATGGTGTCTCAGCAGAAATTGTACAGAGAGACCCCCCACCCCCTCCCATTTTGTGAACCACATTCTCTTTTTCTTCACAAAGTGAGATTGACGTGTAGTGACTCAAGTCAAGTGTGCAAAAAGCTGTAGACAGACACCGCATGCATCCCTGGGGAGTGCCCGTATACAGTCCAAGGGTGCTGGGTGTATTTTGTCCAGTCTTGCAGCCAAAAAATAAGAGTTTTCAGGTTCTATTTATCTACTGAGTTGATGGTGTTGAATGCTTATCTAAAGTTCATTGGGCGACTCTTATTTTCTGATTTCTGATTAATTTGTTTAGCTGAACATCCAAGATGTGCACCTGAGATTTGAGGATGACACCTGCAATCCGGAGAAGCCCTTCTCCTTTGGAGTCTGCGTTAACAATATTTCTGCTCAGAATCCCGCTAAAGATTCGGCAAGTAGTCTTTGACTTCAAAGCTTGCTATCCATCCATCCTTCATTGCATTTTCTCTTCCACTTGTCCTCAGTTGTGTCGCGGATGAGCTAGAGCCAATCCCAACTGACTTTCGAGATGAGTTGGTGCACAGTTAGCTGGTTGGAAATTGCACGACACACAACCGTCATACTCATTTTACATCTAGGGACAACTTAAGAGTCTTCATTGAACCCAACAAGCATATTTTATTAATCCGCAAGTTAGTGAATCCACAGGCACCGAACTGCAAGTGTGTGATGTAAACATGCAAACTCCAGTTTGCTAACC